CAGCCAATTCTCACAACAATAACAACAACACCAATAACAACAACACCAATAACAACAATAACAACAACAACAACTGCTTCTCCTTGTGGCTCATTTATATCCAGAGAGAACCTCAGGTCCTGGGGATGATGATGATGATGATGATGATGATGGTGATATAATATTTCTTACTGTGGGAGAAGCCTCCCACAGAATGGTCACACATCCGGGCAAACGTCCCCTGGGCAACGTCCTTGCAGACGGCCAGTTCTCACAACAATAACAACATCAATAACACCAATAACAACAACAATAACAACAACACCAATAACAACAACAACTGCCTCTCCTTGTGGCTCATTATATCCAGAGAGAACCTGAGGTCCTGGGGATGATGATGATGGTGATGATGGTGATGATGATAATATATTTCTTACTGTGGGAGAAGCCTCCCACAGAATGGTCACACATCTGGGCAAACATCTCCTGGGCAACATCCTTGCAGACGGCCAGTTCTCTCACAACAGAAGGACTGCTGACCAAAAGGTTGGTGGTTTGAATCCAGGAAGCGAGGTGAGAGCTCCCATCTGTCACCTCCAGCTTCCCATGCAAGGACATGGGAGAAGCCTCCCACAGGATGGTCACATATCTGGGCAAACGTCCCCTGGGCAACGTCCTTGCAGACGGCCAATTCTCTCACAACAGAAGGATTGCTGACCGAAAGGTCAGGGTTTCGAATCTGGGGAGCGGACGGAGGGTCCCCCCATATTGTCCTAGCGGGGTGGATAGCGAGATCTCACCCTTCCTTTCCTTTTGCAGTCTACTTCCGGGCACTGGTGAACTTCACCCGCTCCATCGACTACAGTTCGCGGCTGGACGACGTCAATTCTGAAGAGTTCCGGGACGTCTCTGAAGCGGTGGTGGATACGGTAAGCCTGCGTGGCAGGGGAGAGCTACTCTGTATTATAATAATAATAATAATAATAATAATAATAATAATAATAATAACAATAATACAATGGACATTCTGCTAAGTCTTCACCAAGTCGGGTTTCTCCCTCCGCAGCTGGAATCCGAATACTACAAGATTCCCGGGGAGCAAGTGGTCAGCGTGGTCTTCATCAAGTGAGTGCCGTTTCCGTTGGAATCCTTGGCGAGCTTCCTTGGTTTATTTATTTATTTAT